CAGGGGAGACATCTACATATATAAGGGATGACCTTCGCTGACCTTTATCTTTGGGGGGAAAGAGTGATAATGAGAGAAAGAAGGATAAGGACACGGGGGGGGGGATATATATATGGAAGAGGAGGAGGAGAAAGGCGTGAAATGGAGAGGGAGGACGACAGGAAGGCAGGGAAAGATAAGAAGGAGAGAAAACAAAAAGAAAGATACACGTCTAAAAATAGAAAGACAACAGTAAGACAATGATAATATCAGTAATAGAAAATGTCATGAAAAAGGTGAGCAACAACAGAAGTCTGGTCCATTGCGTGATGATCGGCGGCTATCATTACAAAGGAAATAAGTCACGAGTCAATATAATTCACAACTTGATCCGTCGGGGATTTCAACAGCGATCAAAATGCAATTATCAAGAGAAAATCGAATGTATGCTGTCTGCATGCCTCGGCTAGGAATATACACGTGCGCACTTGCACACATGCATGTACACATACACGCCCACACACACATAGGCAAATATACACATACATACAAACATACAAACACACAAACACACACACACACGAACATACAGACCGACACACACAAATGTACACATTAAGGCGCGCGCGGGCATATACACACGATGCTGGGTGCGTGAGAGGCGGTCACATCAGCTAAATTCTAAGATGACACCACACCACCGCCGCCACAGCTGTGCAGAGCAGTGAACATAGTATTACCATCATACGAACAATCACGCTGTAACGGCCGGCCACAGTACCCTCGGCGAGATCGTGTGTACATTCAGAAGTGTACGCATGTGCTGTGAAATCTAATCCTGGATCTTTCGCTTTCAGATGCTCTCTTTTTGCTCCCTTATTTTCGCTCGGTCAAGCGAGAAATTTCTCAAAATGAGGAAGCGAGAAAAATTAGGTCAAGGAGACACACCCTCACCCAACTTTACATAATCCCAGAGTCACTCTCGGGAATATAAACCCTGTAAATGACACTCCAGCCTTAAAATACACACGCTCTCACACTTAAACCATATGCATACGAATAAACCATGCACACATGCGCGCGCGCGCGCACACACACACACACACACACACACACACACACACACACACACACACACACACACACACACACACACGGACAAAACTACAAAACAGCAAGCCAACAACACAAAATTCAAAACAAAAGAAATAATACCCTAACTAACAAACAAAAACAAAGAAACTGTCAAACGCACCGAGAGAAAAGATCCACAGAGAGCAAATTAAAAGATGAAGCAAAACAGGGACTACAGTGTACTACTTTCCATCTACGCGGGTCCTGTTCATCACTTTACTCTCCACTCAAGTTATTACTGCGTGGGATCCCTAGTGGTGCCCTGTTTGTTTGTTTGTTTGTTGTTTCAGTAACTCCATTATCCGCGCGCGCTTAGCTGGGCCGGCTGGGGTGGCTATTGATAGATGAGATGATAGATGTAATAGCGTTCGTGTCTCGATTCTATCTTTAACCCGTGGGTCTGGTTTTTGCACATCGGGAGGATGGACAACGAGAGAAAAGTAAGAGGGAGGGAGGGGGAGGGGGAGGGAGAGAGTGTGTGTGTGTGAGAGAGAGAGAAGATAAGAAGACTGCCTGGAGAAACTAAAAAAAAAGAGCGAGAGGGAGAGGGAGAGGGAGAGGGAGAGGGAGGGAGAGAGAGGGAGAGAGAGGGAGAGAGAGAGAGAGAGAGAGAGAGAGAGAGAGAGAGAGAGAGAGAGAGAGAGAGAGAGAGAGAGAGAGAGAGAGAGAGAGAGAGAGAGAGAGAGAGTAGATGCGGCGCAAGTAAACAAACATGAGTCTTGCTATGTACAAGCACGTGTACTCTACCTACAGTCCATGCAAGAGCGAAACAAGCGAAGGCTGCAGAGCGCGCCCCTTCCCCGCATGCCATAAAACGATTCAAGTTTCTCACGCAATAAAACCTTCATCGCCATCGGTCGGCCTTTCAACACAATTCACCAATGGCCAGATTCAGCGCATTGTGACCCGCCTGGCTGGTCGCAATCACGATATCACATATGCAACTACAGCAACCCGACACAACAATGACCCTTCGTTGCATCAGCGAAAAAAAATAAAAATAAAAATAAAACCGTTCGTGGCGTCGGCCATACATAAACAAAACAAAAAAACACCAAACACAATCAACGTGTCACTTTCTTCTGCCAGCTCGCGGAGTTTGCTTGCGTGTGCGTGTGTGCGTTTTCCACCTGCAGTTGTGGCACTCTGGTCTCCCTCCAGCGGCGAGCAGTGCCAAGCTGGACGGTGAGGCTCGGAATCCACACTGCCTGCCTCTCCCCTGACCCCGCGCCGGGGGTGTGTACGTATGTCGATGCGAGGCAGGGAGGGAGGGAGGGAGAGGTTGCCTGCCACCGCGAGGGCGATTCTTTCTCTTTCTCTTTCTCTTTCTCTCTCTCTCTCTCTCTCTCTCTTAATTCTTCTCTTTTCTCCCTACCACCACCTCTATTTTTTTCTCTTTCCCTCTACATCTCGCCCCCCTCCTCTTCTCTATTCTCTTTCTCTCACTTTATCATAATGTTTCTCTTCCTCTCTCACTTTATCATTACTGTTTCTCTTCCTCTCTCACTTACTTTCTTCTCTTATTTCTCTCATCTCTCTCTCTTCCCTTTCCTTTCCTTTTCTTCTCTTCTCCACTTTTCCTTTCCTTTCCCTCCCTTCACTTCGCTACTCATCTCCTCTCTTCTCCTTTTTCTTTTCTCCTCTCTCTTCTCTCATTTCTTCACTCTCTCTCCCTCTCTTATTCCCTCCTCCTCTTTCCTTTTGTCCTCTCTTCTTTCGTTCCTCTCTCCCCCCACCCCCTTCTTCCCCTCCCTCTTATTTCTTTAAACTCTCTACCTCCCACATTCGTACCGTACAAGTCGACGGCCCGATTTACGATATAAACAGCAGGTCAAAGACTCACTGCCAACCGAAGCCAATGAAGCAGAGGAGTATCTCTCTATTTACCGTATTTATCTATTTATTTATTTCCTACTTCGGAATTAAACTCCGACTGATATTCGTGACCTAATTCGAGAATCTGAGCACATGCCTGTCAGCTACGACGCATTTAAACAGGTGATTAATTTCCAAGCTTCGTATTACCTAAAATAAAACTCGTATCATTACATAAACGCACAGTCAGTCCCTTAATCCGTAACTTAAGTGTGGGACTGAGATAAGCAACCAAGGTAAACAATCAAGATAATCAATCACGTTATAATTAAGCTAATCAACTAATCAACTTGATTTTTTTTTCTGTTAAACAACGCAACGACGAAATGGACTGCGACATAAACTGAAATATTATTCCATATTTCGAGCACTGATTTATCTATGTCAGCGTAGTATTAAAACACATAGAATTTTGCAGGATTAAAGTACCGTACGATATCTTCTCATTCGGCTGATGTGATTATGGAAATCTGGTCATTTGATTACTACAGGAGCCTACTAGCTCATGTGTCTGTCGTATAACACAGTTGCGACGACATAATATGTTAACTTTCTTTATTTTCTAATTCCTTTTTTCATAAGCCTGCCTTATTTACATGTCATTCAGTACATTAAATACCAACAAACTTAAACTGAAACACAAAATCACACACCATAATCTGTTTATTGCATATTCTACTAAAAGATTCTATAACTTCTTACATAAAATATTCATGGACCAGCTACAATTTGTGATCTTTACAACAAACATTATGAGAAGTCTAAGACTGATTTCTAGTACTGAAAGAAATGAAATGAATTTCTATTGAAGTGATTCTGTGATCCCAATCAGTATATAGGGACTACATCTCCCAAACACATTTCTTTTCAGACGAACACAAAAAACATGAACCATATGGACAGCTGATCAGCTTATCTGTGATATTAAAATGTCTTTATGATGTCCTTCCTTCAACTCCTAGCAACATGTATCCTAGAAACAGTCACTCACACTACAGAAATAAGTGACCATCTACTCCACGCAAAAGATACTGCTTTTCTCTTGCCTTATAACATTCCTGAACACCCCGATTTGTGTCAGAACTCTCATCCAAACAAGTATTAATATACACCCCGGGTTTTTTATATAGAATGTTTACTATGACCCCATATTTCTTTGTACGTGAAGAAATGTTTATATCTACATTACCTAAAGTGTGTGACTATATGTAGTAGAATAATTTGCAATGCTTCTAATATCTTGTATTGAAATACAAAAATTGTAACATCCTCTTTTAATTATAAAAAATAAACCTATTAATAGGACTTTGTAATGGAAAATCCCTTTACAAATAAACAGAGTAGGGAAAAGATTTTACCAACAGATTTTCAAAATTACTAAAAACTAAGGGGTACTACAAGAAGTAATTAACTTGATGAAATCTGATTGGCTAGGGAAAACATGTTTACCATGATCCTAGCCTTCCTTGTACTTAAAGAAATGTTTCAGTAAAGTGTATGACTAATTGCAGTAGAATAACTCACAACACTTCTGTTGTATTCAAATACAAAAATTGTAACAATATTCCCTTTTAAATTATTTGAAAACAAATCTGTTATTATGCATTTGTAACAGAAAAAAAACATTTAAAAATAAACAGTGTACGGAAAAAGACCAATTTTTTTTCTAATATTACTAAAGACTAGAGGGTAATACAAAAGATAAGGATGTTACAGTTGATGTAATGAAATTTACTTAGGGAAGGAAAATGTGTCTAATAGCTAATACCATGTATATCTGTGATAAAATGTATGTTTGTGTGAACTCTACAAATATTGATAACACTTCTGTTAATATAAATATGACCCAATGAGGTATGGTGACTGTAATATGTCAGTGAGCAGGAATATTCTTTTTCATATATCTTTGGCAAATTTCCAGATAGATATTTACCAGTGCATTAAATCAAAGACATATTCTAACGCAGACAAAGTTGTTGATATCACTACACAGTATAAAAGAGTGTACTTACCTCTCACTCCATCGGAAGAGTTGTCCTCCTCAGGCTCATTGAAGGAGGTCTTCCTGCTGCCTGCTCGTCTTCTGGGTGAGGAGCCAGGAGTCAAGCCCTGGAGGACCTCCCCAGCGTTCCTTAACACAGCTTCACGAGCTGCTCGGAATCCACTCGCTGTCATCAAAATCAAGTGTTAGTTAGGACTGAAAATGGTGATCTGTATAATGTGTTGGAATAACTAGGAAGTTCACTTACAGAAAGAGTGTAATCTGGTCTACATTTTACAGAGCTGGTTACATAGAGTAGGCCATTACAAGGCATTGCTTTCAGGCAAAGAACTTTATGCAGTATACGAGGACTATATTTGGAAACCACTTTGGAAAATGGCATTATGAAGTACAAGTATGCTTCTGGAAAAAAGTAATGACCTCATTTATGTCTTCAGCTTAGTGCATAACAAAAATCTTTCAGAATATTCAGGTCTAGACAGGGATTGGTCACCTGTGTAAAGTAGGCACCTCATAGCTACTAAATTCAGTATGATAGAGTTTGAAGAGAAAATAATATACACCATAAACATTGGATATCCTAAATAGGATGAACCATGTATTCAGTCCCCAGTATAGTACATATATACATGAATTATGGAAGTAACATAATCTATATACAATTTAAAAATTAAACCAAAAGGACTTTTCTTTTAAATACTTATATATCTATATATAATCATCTACATAATTGCATCTGACTTAATCTTATGAATTCACAATGTTTTCTTTGGACAGTGCCTTTCAATAGAAGGGCAGTTTCTTAACAAAAGTCAAACAGTCCTGAGATATAATGCTACTATGTCTTATTCAGCGAAGCAATCTTGGTCATCTGAGTATTCTGATTCTTTTAACAAGGTGAAGGTGGGTTTCAGTGGCTAACACTAAGAAAGTATCTAATGACAGAGACAACAAATTAAAGAAAAGAGACATCATAGACATTGCAAGTGAACATGATATTAAATTTGACAGATCATGTTCTTACAAAACTCAGTACTTGACAGACAATGTAATCTTTTGTTTCTTGCCAGAGGCAGAACATGTAAGGCTATTTCTATAAAATCATGCAGTCCCAAAAATATGCACAGCAGAAAAAGATGCCTTCCATGTTTTGCAGTCTTTGTGAATATCACACACATGTGATGATCAAACATGGTGGGGTAGCTAACAAGCACAGCATTCAACAGCCTACAAATCATGCTATTTATGCCTCTATTCTGAAACAGCTTTTGTGTTGTTATCAGACAAGGAAGCAAAATCTTTGTATAAGCAAATTGGCAGTCATAACTCAAATAAATAAATAAATGCAAAAAAACAAAAACATACTCGTCTGATACACACATATATATTTGCATATATGAATTTCTCAAGAGCGGTTTCAAAAATATGTTGGGCACGGAGGTTTCAGTGACGATTAGGATTTCACTATGAGGTTGGAGAGCTTGTTAGTACCTAGGTCCTGCTCCTCAGTGGGGGTTCCTGCAGTTGGGGGGGTCACAGCCTGGTGGTTGTTAAGGGCGTGTGCATGGGCCACCTCCTCCATGGTAACTGGCTGTGTTCTGAAGCGAGTGGATCGGGAGCGCCGACGCGAGCCCTGAACACTGTCGGTGGGGAGAGCTGCTGGTCTGCGCTCTTCCTCCAACATGCGGGTCCAAAGGGCCACACGTGCCCCCACACTGTTACTGTCCCAGGTCTTGTGTTTTTCATCCTGACTGCTACTAGAGCCTCCTGTGGTGCCACCCATCCATGGCACTAGTTATTGGAGCATATTAGGTCAGGTCAGGCAGAAGGAGATTGAATGGGGAAGTAACAGAACTTTTTCCTTTTTTATTTTCGTAAGTTATACCTCAAGGTTATAGGATAAGCAGAGTCAGGCTTTCCAATTGTGGGCACAGATTTTTTAAAGGAAATAATTCCAATGTTATATATGTTGTAAGGATTACCACAGTCTTGGTAAAGCCATTCTCCTTAACATGTTATTATGGATTAGTAAAATCTATGTGAAATATGAAATTCCTTTCAATATCTGTTTTGTTATGGGTACACTTTCATCCTAATTCTCTGTGGTTTTGTGTTAAAAGTCATGTCTTTCATTTTTCTTACTACAGTCATTTATCATAAAGATAACATATTTAAATAAAGCCTAAATCAAAATTAACCATGAGCACAATTAAAGAGAAAGAACCAATATTAATTAAACTTCATATGAAAAACTTGTGGAATATTTATGATGCACAGTAACTGAAAGACAAGATAATGTGTAATAGTGTGCCATATGGAAACTGCAGCAGCGGGTGGCAGTAGCAGCTTCATTCCGCCAGTATCATGTGACAGTACGACTTATGGTTAAAGGGCCATGTCATAGCACAGGGCTAGTAGCAGGCCTGAAGCCTAAAACAACATGCACATGCAATAAAAACAAACTCAAGCTGACTGATCTTGTAGGATCACAGAATGAGTGTTTCAGATCAAAATGCGAGTTGGCATGAAATAGCTGCACCTTGTGGGGTACCTCTAGAAATTATCGTCATGGGACTTGCAAAATCAATCAAATCAGGGTTGCCCACTATAACATTCCAACTCAAGGAAAGGTCTCTCTGGTGACTCACGTGATTCTCTTCGTGCTGGTGCGCAGTCCGAGTCGTGAGAGGCCGATGCAGAGTCAGAAGCGTCAGCCATTCTTGCTGCCTGACTCACCTCGTCCTCTGTCACGGGTTGAGTTGCATGCCTGGTGGGAGAATGGGTTGTAATCGACGAAATTGTTCAGAGTTTGGATATTCAGAAACTGACCATACATAATTATTTGGTTTTTAGAGAATCACATTAATTCAGTTTCAAAAATAATCAGTTTCTATTGCCTGTGCATCAAGAGTAACCACCATTTTTCAACATTTGCTGTATGTGGTTGATGAAGCAAACTATTCTAAAGTTAGTGAAATATTACACAATGATAAATACAGTTCACTTCACAAACACACAACTAGTGATAAGAGGTTGGCACATGATTGTAGATATTACTACATATTGCAAATAGATCACAAAGTGTGTACAAATTATGCAATACATACTACATGTGTAGCTTAAGAGTGAAAACACTAATATAAGCCGTGTAATCAACTCCTTCATAAAGATATTTTATAATCAATAACTTGTATAAGAAATACACCAGTTTTGAAGAGGAAGAAGTAACAAGAAAAATAAGAGCGTTAGACAACTACTATACATGAAGCACCTACTTTTATTGTAAAAATATATTAGTCTCTTACGTTTCAAAGAAGTTTGCTATCTTGTCACATCTAGGAAATGACATGAAATTCATATTACTTTCACTATATTCTATAAAGTCTTGAGTAAAAAAACAAAACAAATGACAACTAGGAACAAATGACAATGATCAAGTAAGTTACCTATAGTGTATGAACTGTCTCTAGCTAAATGTCATAATCAGAACATTATTGTCAAACTTACTTACATATGTGATATAAAAGAAAAGAAAAATCAGACATTTTTCAGTCATAATTGGTATAAACTGTGAAAACAATCAATATGATGTTGATTCAGAATACAGAATTAACAATTTGTATCAATAAGTTCACTAACCTTGTTCCTCGTTCTCTTCTACTTCCAAAGCGTGTGGAACGAGTAGATCCTGTGCTCGTATCTCCAGGCTTCTTCTGTTCACGCTCCAACTGTAAGAAAGAATGCACAAGAAATGTACTTCAAATGAGCAAACACTCTGTTTTCCCTGTGTGCAAAGGCTGGGTGGACTTTTTATTTAACTTGGCCATAAGTTTCATTGGGGTAAAGCCCCCTAGCCCTCATGGCCTTTACACTTCTTCCTACACCTGTCTTGGTTTACATTTTCCTCTCCCTGTCCTGTCCTTTTTCATCACCTCATTTATCATTTCCCTCCCTCCTTTTTCACATGCATATACTATTTCAACCTGCCCAATTCCTTATCCCTTGCCACTGACATTAATAATCTCACCTTAACTGTTTCTAATGCTCTTTTATCAGCCTGCTTCATTGGCCTCTTCTCTGTGCCATACACCATTACTGACTAAATATAGTCTCTTTAGCCTACTACTAACTACTCCTTTGGAGCCTCAAGTTCCATCTACCCTGTCTCCTAAGAAACAAAACAACTTTCCCCCCTGCATGATTACAATCTCCTATCTTCAGCTGTCTTAGATCTTCACCCTCACTTACTGGCACCAGATTTCTACTACATCGCAGATACAAAGTCTGTTACTCTCACCAAGCTTCGATTCCTGAACACCTGCTGTGAATCAAACTGCTGCACTATGTGAATCCAGATCAGAGTCCCTTTCACTCTTGTTCTATAGGGTCATCCCTAGACTTCTCTGCTTTTATAATATCTTGCTAACTTTCAACCTCAGCTCTTTGCTTCCAATCACTTATTTCTATTTCTTCAGTTCTAAGTTATCAGTAGCCTTGTGTAAATAGAATCTGTACTAAGTAGATCAGTTTTTTTTTGTACTTCCTACCATGAAGACTTTTTGTTTTGTAATTTATGTTAAAATCATGATTGGAAAAGTTTTAAACATTTCAGTGGAAAGTCACTGCTATGTATATCAAAGATTTTTTATAATCTAATGTAATTTTTTTTTTTTTAATCTAACATTAAAATCTTACTAAAGCTAAAAATGAGACAAAATAAATTCTATGTATATACAGCAGTGTGAAGTGAAATGAATAAAGCCATACTTGTATGTTTCATATCACGATGCACACTAACTTATTTTCTATTTACCTGTGCAAAGAATGCAGCTCTCTGTGAAACAGAGGACGGGGTGTCGGGCGTGGAGTCAAGGCTGGAGGTCATGGCACTGTTGAAGGCCTCTACCACTGGACGGTCCAAAAATGCTTCGTTGATGGCCTCGGCACTCTCCCCGCTCAATGCAGGTTCTGCCACCAAGCTGTAGGCTCCGTTTCGCCTGCTCTCTCTGAAAGGGATGTTTGGGTCAGTGGCTATTGTGATGACAGTAATGGCTGAATTGGTGAAAGAAGTAATACTAGTTGCAATATTTCAATGACAATTAATAGTAATAATAAACATAATAAAAAAGTTATAACAGTAACAGATTCGCCATCGTGGTATTTACATAAAAACAAGAGAAAATAAAAAACAAAGAATATTAATCAAGTCTTACCTTTCAGTCTCCGGTGTCCTGATGTTGTTTAGGAAGGCAGCCGTGACCTTGGGTCGTGCCCCTGGACTGCGAGTGGGCGTAGGGGATCTCGGAGCAGGAGGTCGAACTGGCTCCTGCCGAGCGGCCTCCATGCCCGCCACGCGTTCAGCCACACTCAGAGGTCGCTCCCCTGACCGGGCCACTGAGGCATCTTCCCTTTTGGTGAGAGCCACGAGGGAAGGACTCACGGGCCGGATAGGGGTGCTGCTGGGGGACTCTGCCTCAGCGTCACCTGGGCCTAGGGACCGTCGAGATCTCAGGATTGCGCCCAGTTCGCTGTCCATTTGGTCAAAGCGTGCAGGTGAGTGTGCGCCGCGCTTCTTTAGTATGCCGTGCGCAGGTGTAGCGCTGGGCGCAGGGGGAGAGCGCCCCCTCATCCTGATTGCAGACTCTGGGGCAGAATCACTTCTAACTCTGACACTAGGCAGGTCACCCTCTACATCTTCTCCATCCGACACATGAAGGCGCAGACGAACGCCGTCTGTGGTGTCACGACGCTTGAGGATTGGGCGCAACTCCCCTTCGCCTTCGCTGTCATATCTAGGCGACCTCTTAAGGATAGGATTGGGTGAGATGACACCTTCGGAGCGGTCAAGGTCCTCTCTGCTCCGACCACCCTTCAGGATGGATCTGGGTCTGTCATCTAGCTCATCGTCGGTCGAAGATTTTTTCTTCAAGATCGGACGAGGTTCAAAGTGTTCTAACTCCTCGGCGCTGCTCTTTTTCTTGAGGATGGGCCGAGGCTCACCCTCCTGCGCATCCAGACTAGAAGTGCGGGAGGATGTCTTACGCTTGAGGATGCCATGCGGCTCTGGGGTGGTGGGGCGATCCGGCATCACATCCTCGCGGGAGGACCGGCGCTTCAGGATGGACTGCGGGTCCGGGGAGTTTGTGCGTGGAGAATCCCCATCCAGGGAGCAGCGGCGCGGCCTGCACCTGCCGCTGCCTCGGTGCTCGGGGCTTCTCAGGGGAGAAGTGTCGGATCCTTCATCCTCTTCATCCTCGAGATGACGGTGCTGGAGGCCAAGTACTACTTCCTCTGGCGGCGGAGAGACACTTTCGTCCATGAAGGCAACATAATCCGGGGGCCCTGAAGGTCCAGCGGGGGCGCCAGGGATTCTCTCGCCCCCTGACGCCGCTTGGCTTTCTCTCTTCGTCTCCTTCTTCTTCACTTCCTTTTCATTAGCCATCCGCTTACTTTCTTTACCACGCCCTTCAGAGCCCCCGACCCAGTTTTTCTGGCCAGTGTCAGAAAGAACACCCGTGACGGCAGCTGGCGAAGGCTGAGACCTTTCGCTAGCCGCCTCCATGCCTGCGGCGCCCAGGTCTCGACGACGCGAAGTGCCCGGGGACTCCCTCCTGCCCGAGGATGTCACGGTGGTCAGGTACTGCTCGCACTCGTGAACCATCGTGTCAGCACTCTCGGGGGTGACGGCTGTGTCCTCTGACAGGCGATCCGCTCGATCCATGGCATCCCTGGCACGTGCCGTGAGGGCCTCCAGCCTCGAACTCATCACCTCCGCGTTTGGCAGAGAGGGGGAAGCCAGGGGCGGCGACGAGGCTTCGCCACCCTCAGCGTCGGATGTACCCGTGGGAGTGGAGATGTCACCCGATCTCCCCCCACTGTTGCTGTCGATCTTGAGGTTCATGTCGGACTTGGAGAGGCGGTCGCCCTTCTTGGGCTTCTGCTGCTCCCGGAAGAAGTCGTTCTTGGCCCCGGTTGCGGCGCCGTTCGTGGCTTCGTCCCGCTTCTCCCTTCGCGCTGCGAGGAAGCAGGTGCCGGTGTCAGAAGGCTTCCTAAGGGACGAGCGAAGGGCCGCGGGTCGGAGTCCCTCAGGGGCGAGGGGCGGCTTGTCCAGCACTACGGAGGACGGGCGGGATGTGGGCGGGGTGCTGACCACGCCGGGGGACGCTAAGGACGTGTTGTCTTTGGGGCGAAGGACGTCGGGAATATCGGGTTTCCTCAGGGGCGCTAGCTTGGGAGGAACCTTCCGTGTGCTCAGACCCTCCTCGTTCTCCGAGGAAGCACTCACCCGGCGCGTGCTCGAGGCGTCGCTGGTCGCGCTCGTGCCGAAGAGAACCTGCTGGTGGGCGTGGCGGCCGTGTCGGGAGTCGAGGGTGGAGGGCGCGGACTGCGTTCCCTGAGGGCTGCCCGGGGCTGGCTGGGCGGGCTGGATGGGCTGGAAGGTGTTGGGGGGCGGGGCCGGGGGCGGCTGCGGCGAGGGGTGCCTGCGGGCCGC